TACAGAGCATGCACCAATGGAGACTGACCACACCATTCTCATATACGTTACATACGTTTGCCTCCTTGCACAACTCCCCCTGAATATCAGCCCTCCCAGGATTTAGGGTCCCCTTGTCTTGTTGGTCTATCACAGCAGTTCAAGGGGCATCAGGTGGAAAGAGGGTTTGGAAGACTCCCATCCCCTCAAGTTGCCCTGCCAGCAATTTTGGTCTCTGCCCTAGCTCTAAAAACAGCGCAGCTCCTACGAGAAATGGCCCCAGCCCAAAAGAAGAAAAATTAACCAGAGACTTTGGGGAAAGCCATCTTTAGCTGCTTAGACACTGGTGATGCAGACACTACTTCTCCCTACCCTGGTACTGATTATTGGACCCTCTCCCTTCAGGCAAGCACAACATCTAACCTCCCCTGCTCTCCTGCCCTTACTGCTGGGCCTCACGCTGGTAATGCAGAACTACCACGTTTTCTATCCAGATCCTTTACTCAGATTCAAATTCAGGACTAAATGTAGGGTGGGGCTTTTGCAGCATATCTACAAAACCAGGCAGTCTAGAAAGACATTGGATGAAGGCAGAAGGAACTCTCATGTGGCTAGCCGTAGCAGCAGGAGCAATTCGCTGCGATGGCCTGAAGTTATCATATCCTGTCATGAGCAAAAACTCAGTCAGATGTCTCTTCTGAACGGGAGGGAAAGCCGTTTCTGAGCTGCCCTGGGCCTGGCAGGCTGTTTCTACCTCCTGCAGAGGGTCAGGACCAGATAGAAATGAGAAGATGCAGTAGCAGAAAAGGGAAGCTCCCAGTTAAGGCAGGAGGGTTCCCCGTGCAGATGGAGCTCGGTGCAAGACTTGGCCCTGTAACATCACTTGTAGGAACATTACATTGAATCTAACTGAAACAAGCAGCTTGAGATTCTGTCAGGTATGGACAAACAAGGCCTTGAATAAGTTAGCAGGAGCAGACTTTAATGCAGCCCAGCAGGAACTCATTCTCATGAAAAGATGTCCCTCCATCCAAGGGAGCAAGCCCCTCTCTGCTGCCTGTGCAGGAAACCAGCCCAGGGCCATAGGATGAAGAAATTTCAAAAGAGCTGGAAGGCACTTGCTGTCATAAGAGGGTGACCCTGATGTGTTTGGTCAAAAGCAGGAAATCCAGATGTGCACAGGGAAGCGGTGAGATTGGCACTCTGTTGTCTATTTTGCCTGACTTTCATGCCCAAGACCAGCATGGCAGGAGGTGAGATTAGGTATTTTTTTTGCAAAACAGGCTGTTGACTGGAACCAACATCAGCTTTATTTTGCCCAGTCCTCCCTCAGCCTACAACTGTGCTTACCGGATGTGAAGTTTAGAGACACAGATGTCCATGACAGGTCAGTGGATGTAGCCAATCTACCTATGGAGAGGATGATGCTAGATGGAGCCTGGTGAGTCCCTGTTGATGAGCAAACAGGCATCTGCCCATTGGGCCCAGTGGATCAGGCAGAACTAGAGCTGGGTGAGCGGCTACCTGGCAACTGGGAGCTCTGGGTTTATGGGAGCACCATTTCCATCACTCGGGGCAGCAGATCAGCTCTATCAAGCTGTGTCATTTTTACAGAGAAGTCAACAAAAGCCTATTGGTAACTGCCAGTAATTAGCTGGCAAACAGTTTGTCAGTGCAAGTACCTGATTGCAAATAATTCTTGGTCTGCATTCAGATTATTTTCCAGTAACATGTCCCTCCAAGAGTAATTCCCAGCTGTTGCTTCTGGCAACCACATTGGGCTGTGTCTTCCCAACCATTCCTGCTTTCTTAATATCTTGCTTTTCGTTGACCAACAAGGCTTCATAGCTTTCCAAGTTACTGCAAGGTTCACTTTTGACCAAGTATCTCAGCAAAGAGAGCAGAGCAGACATAGGAAAAGAAGGAAGGTTTTGGCATGGAAAAACACATGGATAAATGATGGGAAGCAGGGGAGGCTGGTGAAGTTAACAGGAAGCTGATGGATGTGGGGAAAACCAGTCCCTGGGGGGATATGATGGAGGTCTATAAAATTCAGAGAGGTCCGGAGGGGATGGGCAGGGACTGACTGGTCAAGGACTGACCACAGATGGGACAAGGGGTGGCAAGGGAAGGCTCACAGCATGCAGGGGGTGGCTCTGCACCCAGCAGCCATGCATCCTTGCTGCCATGGAGAGCCTGCACAAGCCGAGGCAGGAGATCTGATAGCTACTGAAGAGTTGAACACACCAGCATCAGGAAATCCTCCAAGCAGAAAATATTTGGGGTCTGGAAAAGTATATGGGGGAGGAGAAGTATCAGATAAGCTTGGCCTTTCTGCGTCTTCAATGTGAGGTGCTTAGGGCTGCCTTAGGAGAGCAAGGCGTGAGGGGTCAGCGAGCAGCCAGCACTGCACATGGGCTCGGCAGGGAGGAGAGCAGCCCCTGGGATATGGGATTGGGCCAGGATGCCAAGCAGAGCCACCACCAGCCTCACACCCAGTGCATGAGGATCGAGAGTTGGTGTTAAATGTGGTATTATTTCAGCAGTTTTCTTTCTGCTTATATGTGCATAGATCCTGCTGGTGCCTGACTTCCCACCACCCATCATACCTCACTGGGTTACCGTTAGGCTTGACTTCTTAAGAAAACACTTCAGCTCCCTCCCTGCTTGCAGGGACTTTCCAAAGAAACCACTGTCAGAACCAGTTTAGGCAATTCCAGGATTTCCAGTTTCCACAGGAAACCAAACCCTCTAAGGTCTGTCGAGAGCAAGCACCTCTGTCCTGCCGGCAGCCTTAAAACTCAGCAGCCCCAGGCAGGGTGGGATGGGGAGAGGCTGCTGCGGGGGAAGATCAGCCCCAAGCAAGAACATGTTTGCTCTCTTCTCTTTGAGCTTGCTTTGGGCATTGCCAGGTATTGGGAAGGTAAATTCCTTTCTTGCAAAACAGTTGTGGTTTTATTAGTGGTCTGGCTGAAATGCAGCAGCTGATCATGCAATTGCACTAAAAGCATTTCACTGGAAAGCAAAAGAAATATCCTGTCAGAATGTTCTGTGATCCTTCTTAATTTACTAACAAAACATAGCCATGGGGCTCTTGTCGTGTGGCAGTAGTAAAGAACCACTTTCTTCTAACACTGGACAAGATCTGTATTAGAGTGAGAGAAAGAGAAAGAGCAAGACCCCAAACGCTGTTCTGCTCTCCTGGCATGCCACCACGGTGTCACCTCCAGGTCCTAACCAGATCTCCTGTAACTTTTAAAAGATACACATGTATCCTCATCCCTCACAAGTACAGTGGCATACCACCAGCCTGGGGCTTTAAAAAAAGAGAGATTCAACTCACTGGATTTACTTTAATTGGCAAGATTTGGGGTGCAAAAACCAGCAGTAGATGGAGCAAAAGTCAAATCTGTAGGAGCACAAACCTCTCCTTTGACCTGGCTGCACAGCAAACTGAGGGCTAGCTGCTCAAAGCAGTCCAGGGAACACGCACGTAGAGGTTGTGGAGCAGGGAATGGAAAGTAAAAGGGCTGGAAGGAAAGTCCTATGAGGAGCAGCTAAGGACTTTGGGCTTGTCTAGTTTGGAGAACAGGAGGCTGAGGGGCGACCTCATTGCTCTCTACGGCTTCCTGAGGAGGGGAAGTGGAGAGGGAGGTGCTGAGCTCTTCTCCCTGGGATCCAGGGACAGGACACATAGGAATGGTTCAAAGCTGGACCAGAGGACATTTAGACTGGGCATTAAGAAGCATTTCTTTACCAAGAGGATGGTCAAACACTGGAACAGGCTTCCTAGAGAGGTGGTCGATGCCTCAAGCCTGTCAGTGTTTAAGAGGCATTTGGACAATGCCCATAACAACATGCTTTAACTTTTGGTCAGCCCTGAATTGGTCAGACAGTTGGACTAGATGATCATTATAGGTCCCTTCCAGCTGAAAGAATAGTCTATTCTATTCTAGGCATTACGGTCAGAGCTGCCAGCCTGAGGTTTGTCTTTAAGGAATAAACATCACAGCTGTGCAGCCCAAATAGTTGTAGTCCTCTGGTCTAGGGAGCTTGAAAAGCTCTGAGCAGGTAGCCTGCAAAACTGCAGGGCTGTCCTCCTTGCAGCTTCAGGGACTGAATGAGCTTTGAAGCACTTCAGGGATTTATTTCAATGAGTCTCTTTCAACCTGGCATCTCAGGCATAATAAAAAGTGAATTACTTATTAGCTCAGGGGCTTTGCCCTTTTTTAAAGAAAAGAGATGCTGCTCACTGCCCATGATGGGATGGGTGAGACTGCGGGTAGCACCGCTCCCAGGTAGCTGTTCCTGGGTAGCACCGCTCCAGCTCTGCAGGATGATGCTTGGCAGGACTTCTGCTTTTCTCATCTACCCATGCATGTTGAAAACAAGGCTGCTTGGATTAAAAATCCTACTGTGTACAGGCAGGATACAGGATTCGAGTGACTTCAGCAAGCGGCTGAATGTTAACATGAGCCACTACCAAGTTTGTTCCGTGGTGATGAGCGGTGCAGACTCTGCAGCTCCCCAGCACATCCCGCTCCCAGCTGACCACCACAGGAGCAGGACTAATGCAACAGTATCCCGCTCCCCTTCCCCCCACCCTCTCCCATGCTGCCAGCATGCTCTGAGCCCACTCACCTCTGCCGGGAACAAGCAACCGGGGCAGGGAGCAAACACAATGCTCGGGAGGTCACTTAGTGCCTGCCTCACCCCCAGAGCAGGTTTATTCATCTGCTCCTCTTAGCAGTTTAAAAGCACTTTATAAAAGTGGATGGCACGATGCCATGATGTCCCTGGCCAAGCCATCCCAGCACCTTGCCAGCCTGTCCCTCACTCTCCTGTACCCCTGCATTTAATCCCGTTTTAAATGCTGCCTTGAAATGCACCCACAGGCACTTCTTTTACTGGTTGGTTCAGAGCTTTGCAGCCCAAGCAACACTTCAGCAGGAAAGCAGGTTAAAACCTGGGGGGCAGTTCACTTCCCACTTTCCAGCTACCCCGAAGGAGAATAAACTTACCCTCAAGCCAAGGAAGGAGGCAAATACAGCCCAGGCTCAGCCTGAAAAGCTCCATGATCTGCCAGCACAGTGGGGGGGAAGGAGCCCCTGAAGCCTCTTGCCTGCAAGGAGTGCCTGGCAGCTCACTTTTCCCTCTTCTTCTGTCATTCACAGCAGAAAAACCTGCTGGGAGTAGAAAAACTCTTTTGTCTTAGCGCTGGAGACTTGGCAGCCGGCTTATCAGCAAAGGATCAGCTTGGAGATGTGGTCCCGCTCAGCGGTTATCCCTCAGGAGAAATCATATGACGAGCCAGGGTGGGGGGGGACACTGGACTGAGATGCTCGCAGCCACCGAGCTCTGCTCCTTAGCAGCCACGGTTCCTTCCAGCAATGAGAGCCGAATGCTAAGCAGGCTGGCGGGCTGCCTTTGCCAGGGCTGGGAGTGGAGGAGGATGCAGGGCTGGCCTGGCGAGAAAAGGCAAAGTTTGTCAGGAGTGCCTGGAGGGGCGTGGGATGCATCTGCTGAAACCCTGTGCTTGGCCATTCCGTCACAGGGTCATTTTCTCTTTAGGGAGAAATATCCCCGCTGAGATGAATTTAAGCACTGTTATAGGTCACAGCAGAGATAAAAACTCGCAAACCGGCTGTGGGTGTCCCGGAGCTGGAGGGTGATGTGGCAGGGAGCTGAGCTACTGGCCGGGGAGCAGGGTCCTGCTGCAGGTATTCCCTTGATGCTCACCTGAGGCTCACTCGGGTTGAGTTTGGCTTTTCATGTGTGAGTTTGGGCTCTGCACAGTGGGAAAACCACACATCCCTCCCCAAGGGACAGCAGCAAAGGCTGTCAGGTGAAACAGCAGCAGAGGAAGTGAGAGATATAATTTGGTAGCAAGATGCTCCCATTTAGCCACATCCTCTCTGCACTTCTCTGTCCCACCTGCTCACTGCGGTCATTCTCACCTGGATATATCATTAGCCCTGTTGCATAAAAACACATAAAAATGATGGCTTCACATTTACTTTTGGGGTTGAGTCCTGGATGGCACCAATGTCACATATCCCAGCTCTGCCCATGAGACCAGGAGTCACCTCGAGAGCTGGGAGCTGCCTCATTTAGTGGCCAAGCTGTCAAATTAAAAGCACAGTGTCAGCATCCATGCAAGGGCAGGGGCTTGGGTCAGAGCCTTGCGAAGGTGCAGTTCCCTCTGTGCCCAGCCCCGGGCTGATGGCTCCCAGCTTTCCCCCTCTCAGAGGGGGGATCTGGCTTCAAACCAGACTGGCTTCTTCACCAGCAGATGCAGATAAGGCGAGGGATATCCAACAGCCAAACAAAAGGGAAGGTTGAGGTAAGTTCTTGCCCTGGTGAGGTTGCTCCTGCCTGGCTATAGCACTGCGCTCAAGGAAAATACCACAGAACTGGTTTCTTTGGGATTACTAGTTTCTTTTCCCCATGGGAATGTGTCAAGTTGCACTAAATACCAGGCATTTTTAATTTAAAAAAGAACAGATGTTAAACTCTCCTCCTCATGACCGGGGTTGAAAATGCAAACGCTCTCCACTGCGTTCACCAAGTGAGCTTGTCTCTCCCACAGGAGGAGGAGGAAAGGGAACAGCTCGGGCTGGAGGTGTCTTGCCGTCGGATGGAGAGCGTCATAGCAAATATCCTGGTGAAAATGTTGCCGTGGGCTTCTACCATGGATCCTGCTATTGCTCCGACCCTGGGAGCTGGTACATCTCCCATGTTTCTCCTCCCGGCCCTTCCATCCATTTCACACAAGGGAAACTGAGGCATGGAGAGGCTGTGATCTGCCCAAAGCCATGAAGTCTGCCTCTGAGCTCCTGAGTCCCAGATTTCTCCCAATCCACTGGATAACAGTTGCTTTTTAACACCCAGAAAGCCTTTCCCTGTTATGTGCCAGGAAGGTGTCCTCCTCCTGTCAGGCAGGGGGCTGTGAGGGATCTTTACTGCAGTTTTAGGGTGGGAAGGACCATGCAGGGCCAGGCTACAGGTTTTCCCCCAGGTCTGAATCCAGCAAGGACCCACAGAGGATGCTGAGGGAAAACTAAGAAAATAGTAAGTATGTCCCCTACTCTTTTCCTGCCATTTTCAGCTCAGGATTTCCCAATCCCAGTGTGTTTAGCAGCTTTCCTGCCTCTGCATGATGGGCAGCTCAGATTTTGCCCTGGGCAAGCCCCTGTCACCTCCGTGGGGAGAATGATCCTGTCCTTATTCCCACCACTTCCCTTCTTCCTGCAGATATTTAACCTTGCCAGGACCTTCCCTCTTATTCTGAGTCTCCCCTGTTCCTGTTGGGGTCTTTTAAACTGTGCAAAGCCTTCAGGAAATCCAGGTGTTTTCTTCTCCAGGGTGTGATTCCAGCTTTTTGAAGGGTAACTTCTTGCTTCAGATAACGTCTCCCACCTGCTGTTAAGCCACGTTCAATTTCTTGCCTGAAGGAAAGGAAGGAAAGGAAGGAAAGGTCTCCAACTTTTCTTCTAGAGGGCATGTGCTGGTGCTCCTCCTCCAATGTGATGTCCTGAAGCACCTCGACTCAGCTGTCCCCTGGGTCTGGTGCCATCACCTCTGGCTGGCATCAAAGGTGACAAGGAATGCCACAGCACAGAACCCCGCTGCTCTCCTTGCTGCCCACTGCCCTGCCCTGGGGCACTGGACCAGAGGTCTGTTCCATCTGGAGACCTGCTCCATCCGGAGATGCAGCTTAACACTGTATCCAAAGGCAAATCCTTTTCTTCTGGCTTTGACAATCCCTTAATGAGATACAGGATGTTCAGGCTGCCACTGAACCCCCCCCTAGCACTGGATTGAGGATGCCCTAACCCAGAAACTGATGCCATTTTTAACCCTTGGAGAAAAGTGGTCAGTCTAAAAGCGACGTGTCAGCACAGATGAAAATGAATCAGTTGAACATCAGCCACTGAGATTTTTAGGGTTTCAGGACACCACTTATTTCTTATTTCTTATGCATGCAAGGCCTTATTTCTTATACATGCAAGAAAGTATTTGTATATAAAATTGCTCTGTAGCCTTAGAGCCCATTCTTCCATGACGCATTGGCTTGCTTATGGCATGGTGTAGCCTCATGCGTAGGGATGCTTTCTCCAAATCGTTTCCACAGCTTTTCCCGGGCTGCCCCTAGGAGAGAGCAAGCTACTTTCCAGCTGTGGTCTCTCCCACACGGAGCAGGATAGTCCCATAATTGCTGGGTCTCAGTCACGTAACTTCCACATTTGGTTAGTCCTTGCTGATCTGAGTCCTGTGGAGCAGCCTTGTTCTTGGCTCCCTCATCAGTTTGATTGGTGCATTGCTTTTTCCTCTTCATTTTGCAGCTCACGGTGAATCAGAATGAAGTGATGAGCAAGTGAAACTTCATCTCCTGATAGGGACATGGTGTTACCCACCACATCTTCAAACACAGGGATCACTCAGCAGGCACGCAAATGCAGCCCTGTCTGGTGTGGGACCAGCACTGCTTTCCGGCACACAGCAGCTGGGAGAGCAAGCGGAGCCGAATATTTTGCTAGCCTAAAACCCAAGGGATGCTCAGGAACAGCACAACCATCCATTAGGCTTTCACCCCAGCCTTGGAGCCAGCAAGACTTTACTGAGCTTAAAATCTGAACTCAATCTTGTACCCTCAGTGTCATCCCAGGACAGGGACAGCAAAACTCACACCGGGTCCTTGGGGTGAGGAGAGCTGGGGCTCTGGGGGGCTCTCCAGTGGTTCAGAATTTTAGGGATGAAATCTTCCCCTCTCCATGGGTAACTTCCTTCGGGCAGAGGTGCAAATGCTCATTAGCTTTCTTTTCAGCTGTCTGGCCTTCTGCAGGTTTTTCCTTCTGGGTGCCTGGTTCAAAGTGCTTGTGAAAGGATCAGTTTCAGCCATGCTGGGTCATTTCTGAAAAACCCAGGGAAGTCTCTCTTGCTTATGACCAGGCTGAGTTTCAGTGGTAAAACTCCTATCACATCACTCTGGCTGCTGGCTGGCACTAATCACAATTTGCTCCTCCATCCACATCTACTTTGAAGATGGGCTTTCATTGCCCTGGTCAAAGCTGGATAAGTGCTGAGGGAAACTGAGGGGTCTGGCCATGGTGGGGTTGTCTCTGCAGTGAAACCTTTGATCACAGAGAAGCGCTTGGCATCAAACATATAGGAAAATAACCACAGTAAAGATCTTGTATTTCCAAGAGGGGATGCAGAAGGAAAAAGAGATTTTTACATACCAAAACTCTCCTGTGGCCGGGAAGTGGAGCTGGTTTGGGATAAAGCAGCATCTCCAGAGATGCTTGGGTTACATGTGGTCCTTGCAGCCCTGCTCCCATGTGAGCAGCAGGCTGAGACTGTGAGGAGCCCAGAGCAGATGCCCTCAGCCTGCCCAAGAGCCTCATCTCCCACTGTGGTTGCATCAGTTCTGCAAGAAGTCCCACAGGGGCAGGTATGAGGTAAGTTGCCCAGGACCCCTCATCCTGGCAGGCAGTTGGCTTAACCCATGCAGAGTCTGAAGCATGCCTCAGGGACCTACCTGGAGCATTTGGTGCTCATGGTAGGTCTCTGGCTCATTCTCACAAGAAAATACCAACCGAGAGGGGTTCTCCTCCTAGGCGAAAGCCTTCAAGCATTAAGCCTCTTTATCTTGCTGCTGTTGCAGGCAGCTCCCAAGGGCTCCCTCTCCAAGCAGAGCCTCCAACTGAGCCTGGGTCTAAGTGGGAGAAAGCCCAGCTCAGACCCAGGTCCCTTCCCGGCTTATTCCTTCACCTGGCACAAGCCCAGCTCACTGACTTCATTCATAGCAGCCTGAGATGAGAGCACCCTTTTTTTTCCCCCCTTTTCCTATGTTTCCACTATCCCCCAGCCTGCTCACACGATTGCAGCTGCGGCACACAATGACCTTTTTTCCCCCTTGCCTGTGCTTTCCTTATCGCCCTCTGCTTGGTTTGCTTCTTCATCAGGGGAAGGCACCTCAAAAACTCCCTGAAGCTCCTCACAAGCACTGATCCCGATGCAACAGGGTCTGATGGGCTCGGTGCTGCCCAAGGGATGCCTGATGACCGGTCACCCCGCAGCCCTGGGACAAGCCTGGAAGCACTCCTTGGGTTTCAGCCTGGGCCACGGGCTCAGCAGATGGAGCTCCTTCCCAAGGATGTGGGCAAAGTGGCTCAGCGTGCAGTGGGATGCTGTGGCCACTACTTGCAGCTTGGAGCAGCACATGGACACTGTGTGCAGGCTCAGCAGTCAGAAAGAGCCCTGAAATGGGAAAAAGTTGATTTTGCAGTTTTTTTTCTGCCGGCTTGGGAAGGAGGAATTTGTTCGTATAAGAGGACAGTTGTTGGACTTTCCACTGCCTGCTCCTATAGCAATTAGGACTGAAAGACCTGT